ACAGAGGGAAGTGGTATGCCTTCTCTGTTACTTCTCCCTGGTCAAAGGGCCTCTGTTGGCACACAGGGAGGGCACATGGCTTCCCTGTTGCTTCTCGCTGGCTGTAGAGCCTCTGCCAGCACATGGGGAATGGGGGACACATTGCATCCTTGCTGTTTCTCCCTGGCCACTGGCAGGGCCTCTGCTGGTACACCAGAGTTGGGGGCTCTGTTGCTTCCTTACTGTTGCTCCCCAGTGGCCGGAGGATCTCTGCCAGTGCATAGAGGATGGGGCCACATTGCTTCTTATCACTTTTCCCTGGTGGCCAGCAGGACCTCTGCTCGTGCACCAGGGCAGGGGCCACATAGTTCACAAGTTTTAGCAAGAATGATTCAAAGAAAACAATCTATGTTCTTCCTTAATAAAATTAGGTAAATTGAAATAAAAATAACATAATCTTTATATCTAGGAGTTTTACAAAAATTAACATTTCATGGCATCGATTTTAAGGAAGGGTGGAGAACATTTGAAAAATGTTCAAATTCTTTTACCCAAAAGATCTTTTCTAAAAGCTTATACCTAGGATAAGTGTGTAGCTTAGTGGTAGAATTTATGTTTGCATGAGGCCATGGACTCTTTCTCTAGCACCAAGAAAAAAAAGATGGGCATACTTGTAATACTGGCAACCAGGGAGGTTAAGGCAGAACTTTGAGGTAACATACAATTGTTGACAAGTTATAATTTAGGGAGACTTTTTCAACCCCTATCCCCAAAAGGGCTGGAAATGGCTCATTGGTAAACCACTTGCTTGGTATGTATAATGTCCTGTATCCAACTCCAGTACCACAAAAATCAAAACAAAAACTAACTTATTTTAGCACTACAATTTTATGTGTAATTAGGGTAAGATGGTAATTATAATATTATTTGCAATAATAAAGTATTAGAAATGATGCAAGTACTCTACCACAAAGCTAGATCTCTAATAGCAAATAATCATTACTAGAGGATTGTCTCAATAATATTTCGTCTTCCCCCTCCTTTCTTCTTCCCTCCTTCCCTCTTTTAATCTCTCTCTTTCTCATTTTCTTTCTTTCTTCCTTCCTTTCTTCCTTGCGCTTCTAAAGACTAAACTAATGGCTTCATACATGCTAGGCTAACACCTTACTACTGAGCTACACCTTCAGCCCTTGTTGAACAATTGTTCAGCCCTTGTTGAACAATTAGTGGTGAAAAATAACTTTGTGTTATTAAAAAGTATGAGTTAAAGCTGCACATTCCAGTATATACCAAAATATTGCTTAGTTTAGAAAAAAAGAAGGAAAACAGGATACTAAACAATGTGCAACTTATTTTTCTATATGTATTCAGCAAAACTCCACTGGATCTCCAAATGATATAGGAAAATAAATGTAACTCCCAACCTGATAGGTGTCTGAAACACTGTTTGTGTTCCCTAAAACTGAAGATAAATTATAGGGAATAACAGAAATTGATAGTAAGAAATTTTGTTGAGTGAAAGACAGCTCCTGGGCCAGACAGGTGGGACCTGGAAAATGGGTTGCTGAAAAGCCAGATTTTCAAAGGAGACTTTGTAGAGTGAAATCATGAGTTGGGTAGAATGTCGGACAAAACTGTGATCAACCAACATTACAAGTATAATCTCTTAGGTAATGTTGATCCATTGGGGAAGCAAGTCACTGAGCAATTGTGTGTGGAGAGAACAAGGACCTTCTGGGAAGAAATGAATCAGGAGGTCCTGGTCGCCCACCCAACTGATTGATGTCTATCTAGACTTTGTTTGACTAGGTAGTATTAATAATAGTGTTATGGCTTTTGTCTTGATGTCCCCCAAGGCCTCATGCAATCATGGGAGTTACAGGCTTTTCAAAGAGTTGGGCAAACCTGGACCTCATGGCCTCACCTCAGGAAACAGAGTTGCAGCATTTTCAGCTCAAGTCATCAAGGGTCCAGGGTCTTCAGTTTGTAAACATCCTAGCCTGTGCAAGAGGAGAGCACGGAGATGGTGTGAGTGACACCTCCCTAGGGTGGTAGGTGGTGTACAATAACAAGGAGGAAAAGAGGCTTTTTCTTTCCCTTTTGTTCTTGTTGCTTTTTGCTGTTTTCTGCCACTATGAAACTGTTGCACCTGGGTGTGCCAACTTGCCTTGGAGCCAGCTGATTATGGACTAAAACTTTTACAAACTGACTACATAAACCTTTCCTTCCCTAACTCGGGCATCAGTATTATTTTGTCTCAGCATGGCAGAAAAGTAACTAAAACTAATAGTATATTGTTTATCTCTTGGGGAGTTAATGTAAGTAGATTCATTCCATCTTTATCTTGAGGCCTGGCCTTCAATGGATGAACCTTTAGTCATAACTATAATGTGTTTTTATCTTCTGCACTGATTCCTTTGAGGATCTGATCCTGTCTGACTGCCTATAATATTTCTATCTAATTTACGTGTCTATAATAATGTTCATCTAAACTTTAAAAATTTTTAAAAACATTAATAAATTATTAAAATTGTTACCTTTGAGAATGTGACTAAAGACTTTGAAATATGAGGAAGACTTATTTTTCATTATGTGTTCTCCTTTTGCCTGAAAAGTTAAAATTGTGCCATGTATCACTGAAATTACTGAAGAAAAAAGTATTTGAAAAAACAAGAATTATGTACCTCAGCTGTTATAATTATAGCATAATCTTTGTGATAATCACATATATTTAACAGAATAAATTAGGTAAGCACATAGAATATGTACAGGTTGTCCATACTTGGTTGTGAAAAGAAGTTTCTGACTTGTTTTCTGCAGCATATGTGCTTTAAGAACTTTGTCTAGAAAACGTGGTGAGTAATCTCAGTGTCTTTAGACATGTGACTCTCATGGTAAGGAACCATTCACATTTTAGCCTTGTAAGATAACTGCAAGTGAGTGAGGAATTGTGTTTATAGCCTCTACCTACCAATCTTGCTACCAAGTATGGGATAGAATTATCAATAATACACAGAACAGTTGTGAAAACATTGAAATTTAAAAACAAATTTTTGTTACGAGTACTTTCTCTAGCTGGGGATATGGCTCAGTGTCATACTGCTTGCCCGGCAAAGTGTGGGGTCCTGAGTTCAATTCTCGGTACCAATAAAAAAAAAAGAGTACTTTCCTCAATTTTAAAAATAATATATATTTATTATAGGAAGTCCAGAAAGTACAATTCCACTATATTTATAGAAATTTTCCAAAATATGTGTACAAATGTAGTTTCTTCTGATTTTTGTGGTTTTTTTTTCAGTATTTTAAGAAGAATTTGGACAGGGACAGAGACATATGTATAATTTCCTTATATTATATATACATAATATTGCTGCAAAAAACATGTAAGAAACTAGAAACATTACTCCTGAGCAGGGGAGCTCGGAGTCTGGGGGAGAGAGAACAATGTGGAAGGGACAGTTTTGATAGTGCTTTGGTGTTATTTATTTATTTTGCCACATAATTTAAAACTATACAAAAATGCTACATGAACTTTTAAAGCACTACAATACTTTCATATGAACCCTACAATCTGTGTGTATGTGTGTGTTTGTTGTGGGGAATAGAAAGAATCCGGGCCTCCTGCATGCTAGGCAAGCTTTATAGTCATAATTTTTATATGGAAATGTGAAATAAAAGTAAAACCTCCTACTAAGTCATTCATCAAGTGAAAACAATTTATAAGTGCACGCAAAAAATATCATTTCTGTTGAACCAATTGGATAAAAGAGAAAATGTGTTGGAAAAAAAGGTACAAATGAAGGTGAGACAATGAAAGATAGTGACATTCATGAATGAAAGAAAGGAAGAAAAAAGATGACTTTCCAGAGAGCTTGAAAAGTGTTCTTATGCTGAGGCTGTGCAGTCTTCAGATTCTTAAAATAAGTGGATTACATTGAAAATATACTGCTAATCCTTTGAGATTTAAATGACTGAAATTCATAAAAAATAGAGACATTATCATCATTGTCAAAAAAAGATGAATAGGCAGGGTGGATGCTAGAAAGAGACAATACAAATTTAAAAAGATATAAGAATGAAACAAATTTATTTATTACAGAAAATAACTGAATAGTTGATTTCTTTAAATCAACCTCCCCCTACTGCACATTATCTACCACTGAACTGTATCCCTAGTGTAGTTTCTTTATATTAAACAAAAAGATGATTTACATGTACCAGGAGTCCTCTAAGCTCTTTCCTGTGAGGTCCTGGGTAGTTTGTATCTCCTTCGGAAGTGGCAATAAACAAAGCAGATTGAGATAGAAACCTTTAAAGGTCACAGTCTGTGTGGACAAAAACAGCTGTAGACACAGCCTGAAGAGCTGTGTGGGTCACAGGAAGACATTGGATTTAGGGAAACCTTGGAGTTACAAGTGTTCCAAAGCTGCCAAATCCTAATACATATTTTCTGTTCAGACAGAATCTGAACCTTACAATCGTGAAATAAGAAAAAAAAAGTCATATAAATAGAGAACCACAGAGTCTTTTCAGAAGTCTCATATCTTTTCCAGGCATCTCTATGAAACCCAGCTGCTCATTAATTTTCATAAAGTCCAAGTAGGCATGTTATTTTTCTGTTTCCTACTGGAATAACTGTAAGCCTTGAAATGCTCCATATCTATTACCTGAAGTTTACAGCTCTTCTCCTGCTTTATGAAAACATCAAGTACTTAGCTAATTAAATGTGATACTCTTAGAACTATGTTTATAGGAAAGTGTCAACTTTCAGGATGTTTTGTGTAAGTCTAGATAAAATTACGTAGAAAATGACCATGTCTTTCTCTGTATAAACTGACCTTGTGATCACTGCTGCCTGGAGCTCAGAACAAAAGTGATCTGAAGATTGAAACAAGATAAGATCAAATTGATGTCATGGTAATTACAGCAAGTACCATTCAATCACTGAGCGAAATTTACTGTTGATCCCTGGACTTAGAAGTAGGTGGGAACATGCAGTTTTTATTACTCTGCTGGTATAAAAGACAGATGAGGACTTTATTATCTGCAGTTCCTGAGAAATCACAAGAGAAAATTAAATTCCTTTTCAGATCTACAACTGACTGCCCTGAACATATTGTGAGACAGGTAATTTGAAGAAGGTAATTTAAATGAAATAATTTTGAGGGGGTTTAATTGAGGAGTATTTAAGAATATAGAGGAACTTTCAGAGTTGATGCTTAAAGCTTAGTGAGAAGAAAATTAGACAGGCATTTACTCATTCTTTTTTTATCACTCATGACTAAATTGGGAGGAAGTCTCAAAATTGTGGTCTGATCTAACAAAAGCCAGAAATCAAATGTCTCCTGCTGATATACTGGAGACTTGTCAATATCTACAAATCTTGTTCAAAAAGGATGTCATTTGAAAGGCATTATTTTGAGCGGCTTCTAGCAGCTAGGCGAGAGCAAGTGGACATAAGTTGCTGGTATTGTTTTATTGTTAGTTTTTAAATGATACATAACTGTATTTTCAAGTTCACAGGCAATAAAGCAGTTCACTTGTTCAACAGAATAACAATAGCTTCTGATTAGATTTTTTTCTTTTTGTGGGTACCAGAGATCAAACTCACAACCTCACACTTGCCAGGCAGGTTAAATCCCAGATTCTAAATACAATTTGAGGAAATGGGGCTGGGATTTAGCTCAGTGGCATAAGCGCCTGCCTGGCAAGTACCAGGGTGTGAGTTCGTTCCCGGTACCACAAAAAACAGAACAAAACCAAACAACAACAGCAAGAAAAACAATCTGAGTAAACATGCTTATGTGGGCTTGAATAGTAACACTGGAATTTCTTGAATATTATTTCCACTTTCTTTTTTCATAAGATAGTATAGAAATACAATTATTAGTATTTCTTCAAATATTATTGCTGACCTTGTAGTAATAAATTACATGCCCAAGTCAAATTGGGTGTTTTCAGTGGGTTTCTAGAAATCTTTTTCTATCTTTATAGCTGGTCCTCCCTAACTGCTGTTTCTATAGCCAAGAATTTACTATTTGCTTTGGGGAAAAAATCATGCATGTATAAACTTTTTTTTCTTGTATCTCCCTAGTTATAGTATGACAAACATGTATATAGTATTTACAATGTGCTAAGATTTAAAAGTAATATAAAGATGATTTACAGTGTTGTCACTATGTGCGTAGGTTATGTAAAGGGACTAACTTGAGCATCCAGAGCTTTTGGTATATTGTGGGTGGCAGGAAGGAGGGAGGGGTCCCTTCCCATATAGTGAAAATGAATGAAGTTATATTTGCATTAGCTCTAGTTGAAGTGATGCCTGGTTGAGAAATTGAGTTTAGAAAAAAAAATCAGTGTTCTTTTGTCCTTCATAATAAGTGCTGAAAAACGGGATTTAGGCACATGTGAAGCACTGTGGGCCTGATGCAATTTGGTTTCCTGAGTCTGTAGAAGCCCCATTTCTTCTCTTTAGGAATTTTTGTTTCCAAAGTTGCAAATTTTCCAACTTTCTCTCCCCCACTCATAAGTAAAATATTTTAGGCTGAAAGGGAAGTCTTTTCAAGTTACTGAAGACATCTTTTAAATAATTACTTGATAACATCAATTCAATTTTATGTCCCAAGCTTCAACTTTTATATGGATTGTGAATCCTAGAGTAATGTGCCATCAATTTGGGATTCTTGAAATTGTGAGTTTGGCATATGACATTATAGCATCACCACTGTAATGTCATGCAAAGTATTTCAACAACTCCTTGATTCATCAGACTCACAGAGAACACTGTAGAAATGTTTCAGCATATTTAATACTTTGAAGCTTAAGAGAGGTGGTACCTGGGTGGAGTAGGAGTAGAATCAAGGGCAATATAGGAATTCAATTATAGAAAAACAACTATAACAGCATGATACACATGTGAATCAGTCATAAAGCAAGATACTGATTTACTTCTAGCCACAGAGACAACACAAGTGGAAGGATGCAGACTTAGAATTACACTGCTTTCTAAGTGACTGGAAAATCTTTTAAATTCTCTGGCATGTAGTTTTCTACCTGAAATAGATGCTGTATAATACCTTCCTCACAGCTGTGTTAGGAGAATCAAACAAGTGAACAAATGTGAAATCCGTAGATTTTGTTCCCTTTCCTTTCTCCCACCAAACAGTAGTCTTCTTAACTTACCAGTTATTAAATGCCTGAGCCAACCCTCTTTATCCAAATGTGCGTTTTCAAAGACAGTTCTGGAGAACTGAGGTCAAATGATATCTAAGAGAATCACAAGGGCAAATTATACTTACGCTGGCACATAAAAGGTGTTAGTATCTTGTTTAGAAAAGACTGGGTGACGATGTGGCTCAGGGCCTAGCAGTCCGTGTGTGTGTGTGTGTGTGTGTGTGTGTGTGTGTGTGTGTGTGTGAGAGAGAGACAGACAGAGAGAGAGAGAGAGAGAGAGAGAGAGAGAGAGAGAGAGAGAGAGAATGTACACAGGAAGGGAAGGCAGTATGTGAAGTGCAGCTCAGAGCTTGGAATCTGGATTGTGGAGAGACATTTAACAATCTCGGATCTGCAATAACTAGTGCACTGCCTTATCTACTTCACTTGTAGAATTTCTTTATCTGTAAAAAAGAAAATAAAGGGCTGGGGATTTAGCTCAGCAGCCTAAGTGCCTGCCTTGCAAGTGTGCAGTCGTGAGTTCAATCCCCGGTACCGATTAAAAAAAAAAAAGAAAAGAAAACAACACAATCTTAATTCATGTGTGCATTCAACATGCCCCAAAGGAAGTTTTGCACAAAAAGTGATCAATTAGTTGTATGTTTATTTTAAAAATGTGACATGTAATTGTTACTACATCCAGTACTGCAGATGCCATGTAGAACCCTAACTCAAATTTATTATGCTTTATTACATTCCCTAACATATTAATTGAATGTATGTTATATAAATACTCTATCACCTCTGCCCTCCCTAATCCAGGGGAAAAGCACTAGGAAAAAGTAAAGAGGCAGGAATGAGGATCACTTTAATTTTTGATTTGAGACATTTTTATTGTAAGAGACAATAGCTATTCCAGTTATTTCTTGCTGTGGTGCATCAGACTACCTGAAACCTGAGTGGGTACACAACAAATTATTATTATCTGTAAAAGTCCTTTGGAAGACTGGGCTCAGCTGAGCAGTTTTTAATTTGGATTTCTTAGGCAGGGCAGTTAGTGGCTGAGGGTGAAGTTTTTTGACAGCTCAATAGGGGTAGGTTCTTCATTCCCATGTCTAATTCCTCATCACTCCCTGGCCTCTCTTCTTCTCCATGAGGCATTTCATCCTCCAGTGTCTCTCCATGTGGCTTCAATATATTATTTCACAGTAGTCCTAGAATGGAGGCATTTCTTACACACTGGCTGGTTTCTAGGAGACAGGACGCAGGAGCTGCCAGGGCGGCTAAGAGATACACCCACAACTTGCCTAGTGTAATTTCTGCTGTGTTCTGTTGGTATAGGCAGACACAGGGCCTGATTGGATCAAATAAGGGGCAAAGATAAACGTATTAATTTTTGATGTAAGAGTGGCAAGGTCACACTGCTGAGAATATTTTGTGACCCTTTTCAGAAAATGCAACCTGCAGTGAAAACTTCAGGGAAATAAACAAAGACTTTCCTTTGGAGCTCCTCTACTATTTTTAATCACAGGAAACTATTCTTATTAAATAAAGTGACAGAGTTGATTATCAATAACCTAGTTCTGTTTCTTATTGAAAACTTCAGGTAAATTATGTATGTTTTTATGATTTAGTGTCTTTTTTCCTGGGGATTGAATCTGGAGCCTTATAGTATGCTAGACAGATGCCGTACTACAAAGCCACATCGCCCGTTTCAGATGCCATAGTATTTTCAATTGCAAAGGATACTTGCTGTTTCAAAATAGCCCAAATAAATGCAAAAAATATAATGCATACATTTAATAAGCTACAAGACAGATTCTGGTACTCCCATAATGCCATGCCTGATAGTACTTTTCTGTTTTACTTTACAGATAGAAAGATTGATGGTGTCTATGCTTTATGCCTAATAGTATATATTATCACAATAAATTTCACTGACTTTTAAAGCTTGAATATTTTAAAGCAACAAGCATTAGAATTTCTCCTCTAGAAGAATATTTTATGGTACCTAGAGTTTGTCCTATCAAAGTTTCTAATTTTTTTCAATATAAACTTAGTATGCAGAAAAATGTTGCAGACGTGCCAGAATAATGCTGATGTGCTAGAAAACCAAACAGGTAATGGAAAAGACAAGATTTTAATTACATAGTTGCATTAACATTGTAGAGTGTTAAAGTAACAATTAAAATAGTGTGTGTACATCTTGTAAGTCCTTTAAATTTTGTCAATCAAAAAAGAAAATGTTTCAAAGTATGACTGTTAGAAGGGCATAAATGAATTGAAATAATTTTTTATAATTCTATAAATCCTTCAGTTTCCTTCTGAATACTACTTATTCTTTCTTTTCAAAGTAAATATTTTAAAGGCCATCTTTTGTTTTATTTTTTTTATAGAAATCTCTAGTTTTGTAGGCCTTAGCAGCTATGTGTGTATTTCTTATATATGAGATCCTACTCCCTTTAAAATTATTTCCTCTTCCTCTTCCTCTTCCTACCAGGGATTGAACTCATGACCTTGCACTTACCCAGCAGGAGCTTATACCACTGAGTGTAATCCCTGGCAAAATTATCTCCTCTTGAAAAAAAGTTGTCTCACTTAAAATTTTGTGAACAGAAAACACTGTTATGTGATTAATAAGTAGAAATTTGTTTGGAATACTTCAGCTAGTACCAAAATGTGTGATTTCACTTGGTTTTGCTTTCCTTTGGATGCTGGAACACTTTGAGAATATTCTATGTACAACTGTATTTGCTGGGGAACTTACCAAAACTAGTGAGTGTGTAATACTCTTCAATCGATGTCAACAAGATGTGCCATGTTTACTACTATTGTGTTTCTTTTCCTATCAAGTATATATTCATCATTTTCATTGGTTTTTATCTGTCAATTTTCTTGTCCCCAGCTTACCTGTCTCATTGTCTCCAAATACTTTTTAAATGAGATTCATTTCAATTCCTAACTATTTGTCTTTGTATTATGTTCTTTA